TACAAACATAATGTGTAAAAACACTAAAAAGCGATATCCCATCGATACTAAGTACTGTGGAAATTTTAAAGATACAAACAGTGAATATCGCTGGCTGGGAGATTCGAAGAGAACAGGGGCCTGAAATCTTCTATGTGTTAAAATATGCAGTTTGTTTAGCGTTATTGGCCCGCCGTGAAGAGGAACACAATCAAATTTTAACAGTTATTAAAAATCGCCCATATTAAGATCGCCCAAACTGCCGTACTAGTGATGTTACCGAGATTTACTGAACACCAGGCGCAGCTATGCTAGGACTGCTTAAAAGCTGTATAAGCACCTGAAAAATATGTTTGATTGTTGGATTTTGTTTTTTGTTTTTCAAGTGGACGAAGACGATTTCTTTGAAGTTTCGTCAATTTTGCAGTCTCACACACAAGATGTCAAGTTCGTTGTATGGCATCCGACTGATGAGGTATTTTTTACACTTTTTTTGCTCTAGTTCCTTTTTTTTTTCTAAGCTTTCTTGGAAGTGTGATTATTGATCTGGTGCAGTAGTGATCATATTTCACATCAGTTGCTGGTCTCGTGCAGCTATGACTGTTCGATTCGTTTCTATCGTTTTGATGGTGAAGATTGGATAACGCAACAAAGCATCAGTGATGCACATCAGTCCACCGTGTGGTCTGCTGATTTCTCCGGGGATGGCAATTCTCTGGTCACTGTGGGTGCCGATTCTGTTATCAAAGTAAGCTTTTCCTATTTGTTTCTGTGAGTAATATCCGCTTTCCAGTGCCTAGTTGCTCCCCGACAAGCACCGCGCACTTATTCAGGTTTTCTGAGCTTTCTGACTCTTATGACAACATTCTGTTCACGCTCTTACGTTTGAGCATTGATTGCAGATTTGGAGGCGACAAGAAACGGGTTCAGAAGCATCAAAGAGCAAGTGGGTTTTGGCAATAACTCAAGCAGTGAGCACGAAATGGCCATTTTATGCAGTTTCCTGGAACAAAGTACACGAAATGATTGCCGTTGGAGGAGGTGATGGAAAAGTTCGGTATGTGGATTTAAGTCATTCATATCCCGTTTGGCCAGATTGCGCGATCATGCATGCATTTGAAATCCTCCCCTACTTTTTATTTAAACGTTTGTGGAATCTAAGGCTGAACCATTACAAAATAATTGAAATTTTTTGATTTTTGACCATTTGTTGTTCTTTAATGTACCATTTTCATTCATGTCTTGAGTTGGCCTTTAAATTTATTAACAAATATCTAAGGAGCAAAGTGTGCAAGAAGCAGATGATTGTGGTGATTTCCTGGCGCTTCTTACCATTTTCCTTTTCCACCTCGGTACAGTTCCACGTTATTTCTGTGAGATTACAATAGATCATGCGCTGAACACAGGTTTTTTGGAACCTCCTGATCTATTTGCCTGCTTCAAGCACTGATCAACCCAGCTTATGTCCACCACCATTTCGGCCATTGAATGTATCATCGTTCCTTATCAAGCATTTTTGCTGCTGCAGTCGATGTAAAAGAGTATGTTCGATGAGTATTAAAGACTTTAGTAAGTCCTGGAAGTTATGGTTTTGATTTGCGTCAAAAATCTCTCATCTTGATTTTTTTTTTGATAAGGGCCGGAAGGGGGCAGTCTCCATTTGGCAGAGTTTTGCTAATTTTGGGCAAATCTTGGGCAGCTTCCAACTTTTTTCCCGGCAGATGAATCCGAATTTCTACGATGTTTGTTCAAATTTTTATCGTATTTCAGGTTCTATCGCATGGAGAATGCGGCAGAGAATTCATGCTTGGAAGAATGCTTGAGCATGTTTAAAATCGCGGCCGAGGTTAACTGTCTGAGTTGGAACCCAGTGGAAAGCAGTTTACTTGCAGCTGCAACAGATGACGGTGAAATTCACGTACTTCGGATAGCTTTTTGAATTCACTGCTTTTTATTTATCGTTTTGTTGTTCACCTATTTTGATACTCGTTGAACGGCTGCTCTGTCAGTATTTTCATTTTTTTAAATTTTTTTTTTTTGATCCTTTGCTCATCTACATTCTGTTTCGCCTTTTCGTCTCAAAAAATTGGCAGCAGCAATCACTCACCGATAGCGATATCGATGAGCTTTGTTTTTAGAAGATTGTTTAGGAACAGACTGAAATCGGCCTTCGCCTTCT